TAGTTGTTTGAAATTTAGGAGAAAAAAAATAAGAAATAAAAACAAATTAATTTATGTATGTTTGTAGAAGCTTCCATATATCTTGTTCTCCAGCATGATAAGCTGTAAGAAACAATATGCAGTCTGTAGTGCACTTCGGACAAAAGGAAGGACCCCTGAACGTAACGGTAATAAATCAGTGGAGGAAACTGTGCCATCCTACGCTGTTTACTTAATGTTTCCTCTATTTCTCTCGAGAATTCACTAATAAGTTAGCAATTTAACGCATGCGCATTTCGAAAATTACAATAAAGCAATTCATATTGATATAATTTTTATAGATATAAAAATTCAATGAACTTACTTATAACTTTCTGTGGTAATTAGAAATCAATAGGCAAGTAATAGAAATCGATTCTATATAATTTCACGCTTTTACTATGTGTGAAAAGTTAAAATGTGTGAAAAGTTAAAAAGCCATTATTGCTAATCATAACTTTCCTATTCTGGTCGGGCGTGGCCTAAAGTTAGCGTACCTGAGAATACGAGGATTAATGGCTCGCATCCTTTTACAGTTAAAACGCGCTCCACACTGTGGAGCCCTGGGTGATAGTAAGTCAGACGAAAGTAGCCCAAGAGCTGACAGTGGGCGCTGTTTGACAAATTGCTTTCCCTTTAGTGTATCAGTTCAAGGTTAGATTGCTCTTTGCGTAGATTGGCGTGAAATTTCTAAAACAAACAAACAAGAACTTCTCCTTTCCTTAGAGAAAGGATATTAATGTAGAATAGGTCCTCTGAAATTCAAAAGTTCCAAGTGACACGCAATTTTCTAATATACAGTGCGAACCGTGGTGTCTGTCCAAGCTTTCGCCTGTCTCCCGTTTGAAAAGCTGCGCATTGCAGGCAAAACTCAACGTTCACTTTTGAAATGACGAAAGAACAGACATGAATAATGTGGATGCCAAATTTTATTTCGTAAGCAAGATATTCTACACTAAATTGTTAGGAATTAATCACACTTTCATTTCAAAATGTGACGTAACTTAAAGAATAAAAATGTAGATTTACCGTATGTTATTGTTGAGCGCCTCTTAGCATGACTGAAATACTCAACAATTACTTTTCGCGGTGGGCGGTATAAGTAGCTCAGAGCTTTGACTCTGAGTGAAACCAAGAGTGCAACACAATTAACCTTTTTAAAGTCTATGAAATAATTTAAATTGATAGATTAACTTAAACTTTTCCGGCACTGGGGACGGATACTTCACCTTGTATAAACATAAAATATTTTTCTGATATTCGCCACATTTCATATTTTGTTTCTGATGGGCTGGCACTGTTTTGTTCTGCCTTTTAGGTCAGGTTTTATCTATTGATAGAACAGTTTAAGCTTATTTTACTCGATTTTTAAGTTTTTGTATAAAGAATGACAAAATAAAACTGTATATAATTTTGGTACACAAAGTTGATAGTAAACTCAGTAATTATTGCTACGTAATATAATATTTTGGGACAACATGGGACCTATTGGTTCATATCGGCTGTTCCATCCTCAAAATTAAATTAAAATGATTAAATAATAATAATAAAATTTTAAACCCAACCCTTTTCATTCATATACTTATCAAGCTTTTTCTTAAACTCATTTAAATTGACTGTCTCTACAACGTCTGAAGGCAACTCATTCCAAAGGCAAACGACCCTGTTAGAAAAATAAAACTATCTTACCTGAAAATGACTCCTACCTTGCTCAAATTTATATTCGTGTCCACTAGTCCTACTATTCTCATTGTTAAATATAAAAAAATATGATACATCAGCACTATCAATTTCCTTTACAATCTTAAAGACCTCAATCTGATCCCCCTAACTCTTCTTTTTTCAAGAGAAAACAGTTTGAGAGATTTCAGCCTCTCGTCGTATGACAACCCCACCATCCCAGGCACCATTCTAGTAACCCTTCTCAGAACTGTTTCCAACAATTCAATATCCTTCCTAAAGTAAGGAGCCCAAGACTGAACACAATACTCCAAATGTGACCTGTACATTGAAAGTATAACCTCTTTAGACTCGTATTCAATATTTCTATAGATACAACCTAAAATCCTATTTGCCCTACCACTAGCAACAACAAACTGTTGCGATGGCTTTAGAGACTGATCAACTATTACACCAAGATTCGTTTCCTTCATAACACTATTAATGTTATTCCCATCCAAATTATATTTAGAATTCAAATTATGATAACCCACATGCATTATCTTGCATTTATTATAATTAAAACCCATCTACCATTTATTTGCCCAACTCACTAAATGATCTAAATCTTTTTGTAAAGCAGCAGCATCCTCTTCACAGTTAGCAACACCCAAGGCCTTAATATAATCTGCAAATTTAAGTAATTTATTGACTATCCCTTCATCTATGCCATTGCTGTAAATCAAGAAGAGCAAAGGTCCTAAGACTGATCCCTGAGGTACCCCACTTGTGACATTA